CCCCTGCTCCTGTACCACGCTTCTCACACGAGTTTCCCTGTCTGTGTCCTGAGCGGGGACAGGGGCTCAGATACCAGCCTCTCAGACACCATGCTGAGGAACAGCCGCTGTGCATGGACTTGGAGCTGCCACTGAGCTCCGAAGGGGGAAATAAAGCCAACGAGCTTCCTGCATCACAGCTCCAAAGGTATGAGTCAGAATATGCATTCACCTTTTAGAAGCCCTGTGTTGACACCAAAGCCACAGAGAAAAGCAAAAGCTCCTGTGTCATCAGCTAAGTGAACCTGCTAATGTCATCTTCCTAATGTGCCTAAATATTTGGCTTATTTCTTCTTTTAGATGACCTTTACTGTCCAAGTCCATGCCTCTTGACTATGGCTTCTGAAGCTGAGCAGCCCAAGTTTGGTGTGGAGTAGTGAGCATCTTCAAGTGTGTGTGATGAATCCATGTGCCCTGTGGATCAGTTTCTCCATCATCTGTGTATGACAAGCAACTCAGCACGCTCGGGAGCCACCTACCCAGGCCAAAATACCTCTTTAGCAATAGATAGATAGATTAGATAGATAGATAGATAGATATAGATATAGATAGATATATATTATAGATATATATAGAGAGAGAAGGGGGGGGTAATATGCAAATTAGGCTGGGATGCCATAATGGGTCACAACCAGACCATCAGCTCTTTATGAGCTTCTATGTGCGCCACAGGGCATTGCTCCGGAGACAAGGTGGAAACAGGGAGGCGCTGGGAGAAGGCGGGACCAGCCTAAGGCAGAAGGGAGAAGGTGAAAAGGCTAGCACCGTGCACAACAAGGCAGAAAGAAGACGGTTGCAGTTAGGCAGGGTCATCAAGCCAGAGGGGAGACCCAATAGGCAGTTAGGGCAATTGGACTGGCAGGGAAGCAGTTAGGGGCATCTGGCAGGCAGGCAGGTGAGGGGTTAGGAGCTAGTGGTTCCAGATTACGAGAGGGATTCCAGATTGGAGAGGGTGCAGGCTGGGCTGAGGAGACCCCCGCCACCCTCTGGCCCCCATGCATAAATTTCGGGTACCAGGCCGATAGTAGTTAAAATAATGAGGCACTTTCTAAAGCAGCATAATTAAGAGTTTGGAGCAGATTTCCATGGCAAGGGAGGAAGGTAGTGTAAGGAAATATAAAAAGAATTTGCAAGGATTAAAAATAAGAAAATCAACTCACCCATTATCTATAATGTAGGAAATATTTAGATAAATAAAAGCAACACTTATGTATTTACCTATAGTAATCCATTCACTCAATTACTCTTCAGTCAGCATTTATGAAGTATACGCCACATGTCAGACACTGTGCTAAGTGCTAGAAAAAATAATGACAAGACAAACCTGATCCTAGCACTCACGGAGCTCATAACCTAGCATCAGCACCAGACAAAACTGTAGGCTCACAAAACTGAATGTTAAAATGCATATTATTAAGGAAACAAAGAACTGAGAAGGAACAACACTGGAGAACACACAGGACACAGGGTGGGGCAAAAGTAGGTTGACAGTTTTTCGTATGGAAACTAATGCAATAAGTAATAATATTCAGGACTCAACGGCTGTAAGCGTACTTTCACCCGACCCTGTACAGAATAGGAAGGAAAGGCCTCCCAGATGACACAAAGCTTTAAAGATGGAATATAAAGCAGAAGGAAAGCTAACCAGGACAGAAATGGGATGACTATTCCAAAAAAGACAGGATTACATGTGCAAAGGCCCTGAAGCAGAATGGGTTTGGACACCATCAAGCTGAAAATTCAGTGTGGCTGAAGAACAGAGAGCAGGGAGAGAATGACACGGAGCACTCGTGTGGAGACTCCACAGGCCGTGCTGCCCAATCGGGATTTTCTTCTGCGGACAACAGGAAGTGTTCAGTGCAGGAATGGCATGGCTCCATTTACACTTTACGATGACCCCTGTTTCCTCTGGGTGGAAGAAGACTTGAAAAGTGGAGCCTATTGCAGTTGTCTGCATAAGAGATGGCAATTCCCCGGCCCCAAATGTGGCAGCCACGCTGTTCAGTGGTAGACCGATCCAGGCATATTTTAGAAGTAGAACCAACAGAAGTCATTGGTTGATCAAGGAAAGAATCAGAGATGATTCTCATCGAGTTACTCTACTTATATGTGGGGTACTTTCAATAATAGAAGCCTCGCCTGACACAATGTCAAGCCCGTGCACAAATCTTGTCTTATATTCATAGCAGGACAATTTACAATGGCTAAGATTTGGAAACAGCCTAAGCGCCCATCAGCAGATGAGTGGATTAAAAGCCTGTGGTACATCTATGCAATGGAATACTATGCGCTATAAAAAGGGAACTTTTACAATTTGCAACAGCATGGATGGAACTGGAAAGCATTATGCTAAGCAAAATAAGCCAGTTGGAGAAAGATAAATATCACATGATCTCACTCATATGTGGGATATAATGATCAATATAATTTGATGAACAATACTAGATCCAGAGACAAATGGAGGTGGGGGGGGGGGCGGAGATTAGAGAGCAACCAAAGGACTTGTATGCATGCACATTAGCATAACCAATGGACACAGATACTGGGGCAGTGGGGGCTTGCCTGAGGTGGGAATGGCTGGGAAGGGAGGGAGTCAATTGGGGGAAAAGGAGACATACGTAAAACTTTAGACAATAAATAAATAATTAAAAATATTAAATGGGGGGGAATGAATCTTGTCTATGGGCTAAGGTACATTACAGATATAAATATCTACAAAAGCCTACACCTAGCAGTAACAGAAACGGAGTGTGGCTGTTCTTGAGAACCAATAGTGGCATGCCGCTAGGCAGGTATTTCAGAAAATGAGTTTTCCCATAAAAGAATGTTATTGTCATAGTGGTGCCTGTGCCTCGTAGCTTCCCCAAACTCATAGGGTTAAATGTCCTTCGATACATGAGTGTAACATCTTCAGTAGAACAGCACCAGACAAACCAGCTACCAGTCCATCTAGTCTCCACAATACACAGCGGAGATAATATCCATGCTGAATTGAATGGTGCATAACTTATTAACTAGTAGGAAAATAACTAACTATAAAATGCAAATTTATATATAATTGTATGATGATCTCTGAATAACTTGGTCCTTAACAGTGGTCTCTCTGTATTATCCCTTCAGAAACTAGGCATACAACACAATGTAATACTCCCCAGGAAGGCCTGAGGCCAATGAGAATGGACACCTTGCTTGTTGTAAATGCTGTACTCAGACTAGTCCCCAAATGTCACAGAAAGAACAGCACTCCCATGACAAAAACATACTGATACTCACTACCTTTCTGACCCTTTCATCCCCTATACTGACTTGAGTATTACTGGCATTGTTCCACTGCCTTTCCTTCACAAAGCTGGTACATAATTATCATCTCAAAATCCCTGCGCCAATTGGCTAAGAGAGCATCTCTCCCTTTTTATTATGTATAGTGATGATGTACTCTTGTTCTTAAATTGCAGAATGGTAAATGACTAGGAGAGAGAGAGAGAGATCACACACACACAAACACACACACACACACACACACACACACACACACTGGGTAGAGTATCTCTGATTTGGTATAAGGCCTCGCCAAAACAGATAGCAAATCAAGAAAGACAGTAGTAATTTATTTGGAAAGGGATGTTATCTTTTGTTTCTCCACACTATTAACTGTGACCTTTTTTTTTTATCAGCATTTCAAGGACTTTACTTGAAACAGTCCCCATGCTTTTTCGTTTTTAGCTGTTTTTAGTCAATATGTGAAGGATTTCCTTCAGATTCCCAACATTCTAATGAAAAGTGCATAACTCTTATCTCCTGCCTCTGGTCCCTCCTAAGTATCACATTTATTCTGACACCTTTAAGTTTTAGCATAGTGGTCCATCTCCAAACTCTGCTCAGGACACCTCTCTTCACTCAGGCGGTCCATCTGCGCTGCTCCTCTCAGCAGGTGCATCTATACTTTCAAGCCACCTGCTCAGTTCCAATAGTGAGACTCTTAACAAATTCACAGATTTACATCTCTGCACTTCACACCCTCTTCCATTTACCCCTATACACTCCCTTTTCAACACTCCTCAGCTGTTCATTCTAATTTGGCTTCTCGTCACCTGCAGTGACAGAACTGGATTTGCATCCATGCCACCCCTAATGTATTCTACTGCAGGTTCCATATTTCTGCAACTGTAGCAAGGAGATGAAGAAAGAACAGAGCACTGCCAACGTGAAAAGCTGTCATTACGTAACTCCTGGTTGGGGAATCTCCCCAAATTGGCATGTGTTTCTACTGCTTCTCGCTTCTTCTACTGCACATACTCATTCTCGCTTCAGACCCAGTTACCCCAATAGCCAAATACTCTCCACTTCTAAAGAAGCAAAAGCAGCATACACATGCACCTAAACACACAGTCCTCCCATGACTTTGGCCTCCTGTTATTCTGTTCTTAGTAACACTTCTATCTAAAGTATGATACATAATATGTTCGACATTTCAAGAGCTACGCCACTCTGCTCTACATTCTTCTATGACTTACAGGATGCTTTTCCACTGTTCCTTTTTAAATTACCAACCACCCCCAGGATCTGGTTAAATGCCATTTAGAATCCTATTAAGTTCCATTGACCTACTGTCCCAAGGGAACCTATTTCTCAGCAGAAACAATCCAAAAATTTATTTTAGTCACTACGTTGATTACTGTAGTCAAATGCCATCTTTAATACTCTTCCCTATTTCACTAGTCAAAATGTAGGATACACACAACCATGCCCAAACTTTGTCAAATATTCTCCGGCCAACTCAGACCTCCTCCTAGAACAACCTGCTGGGACAAGAAAAGCATCTCCACAGACATGACCCTTTAGAGGAGGCCATCTCCTTATGATTGCTCCCCTCCCCATGAGCCACAAGATCCTAAAAGGTGTCTTTCCCCAGGCCGTGGGAGTGAGGCGGAGAGAGACAGCCACATCCTCGGAGTACTCACTGAGTGGCTTGAGGATGCTGCTGCCGGACTCGTCGGCGTTCTCCACATCAGACTTGTCTGAGTAGTTCTCAGAGACTCTCTCCTTTTCCTTCTTTTCTTTGTGTCCCGTCTTTTTCTTGTGACGTCTCCTTCTCCTGTAGCTCTTCGGCACGTGGACCCCAATGTAGATGGTGTGGTGGCCTAAAGGAAGGTACACAGATCACCATTTGAAACCACATCCTGGGCTGCATATAAACTGCACAAAACCAACAGGTCAAAAAAAAAGGTCTATAAATTCACCATTACCATTCTATATATGACAAATACGTTCAAGCTAAAAAATGGAATCTTCCAATTCTCTGTTAGCATAGTGTCATTCAACCTGCTGGAGGGCCCTCAGGTTCTGTGAGGGTGTCCTCTAGTTCCTATCCAGATAGGCTAGTTGTATTTAGGAGAGCCAAAGGGAAAAACACACCGGAAATCAGAAATCCTTGATTCTAGTCAGACCTCTGCCATCAGTGACCTCTACGACCTTGAGTATGTCCCTTAACCATTCTGGGCCTCAAGCTCATCATTTGCACAATGACAGACTTACCTTGGGCAACCCCAGAGGCCCTTCCAGGGCTACCCTCCCCTGGGTCTGTGATTATACTCAACAGGGTGCTGAAAAAAGGAACTGTTGAGGCTACAAAAAATAAGGATCTAACTCAGAGTTCAAGAAGTCATTCTGCTGGGATAAGGTTTTACATTAAAACTTCTTTTTTTTTTTTTTTTTCCCCAATCAGCAGAATAGAGACTTAGAACTGGGACAAAATTGAGAAAAAATAAGACATACAACATGCTTGGAGAGAAGGTTTTTAGAAATACTCAAATGTTCACACGAGGCAACAGCTAAAATGAATGTCAGCTACAGTGCCATTCTCATTTTTCCTTTTTTACTCCCAACCGTTTCTAAAAGCTGGTTGTTGCCATGATAAAAATAAACCCAGCCCAGCCAAAACTGCCTTGAAGAGAAGGGCATGAGGGGGAAAAATTGTGAAATGCTTTCAGCTCTCTGGATGGATGGAGCTGCTAAACTGACAGGAGGTATTATTTTAACAAAATCTGATAAGACAGAAAAAAAGGAACTCAAAGTTCCACATCTTTTTTTTTTTTTAATTGGGAAACTTTTACTTTCCTTTTATATCCAGCATAACTCCTGGATGTGGGAACCACTATTTCTAGAAGTAATACAAAAACTTTGGCTTTTTGAACTAATTTGAACTAATTACATCTCATGTATGGCTTTGCTCTCCCATTCTGGAATCACCCCTTGAAGACCCCTGTACAGTGTCCCAGACAATATCACACACACCTACATGTATGTAATACTTGACCATGCTGCAGTAGGGCCGAGTTAAACTGCTGGGAACCGCTTTCCCCAGTAACTCATTCAGCATATCTTAAAACACCATCAGTCTCAGTGGTGTTCCCTTAAACTGGAAGGAAGAAAACAATTCCTAGTACATGCTCCTTCAAGAAAAAGGTGCCGACTAAGGCATGCAGAACCCGGAGTGGATGGGCTAGCATTCAAAAGAAAACATTTGCTACTTGGAATGAAGTTGGAGGCATCTCTATGTGTCATGCATGAACCTCCCACCAGCAACACACACACACACACACACACACACACACACACACACTAACTCAACTACTACAAAGCACCATGAACTTCTCCTCACAGAACCGGTACCAAGGAGAAATGGATCATGTCTAACCATCTGCAAGCAAACTGTTCTCATGGGAAAGGAGGAAACGCCTCAGAAACAATGTGAATTAAGTAACAGTGTCAATTGTTTCCTGCGCTCCAGCTACAGAGGGAGTCCTGCAGCTTTATCTGAAGTTGCACACAATATATGTAAGCAGAGCCAGCCGATTTCTTGAGTAAAGCAAACACGGAAAGCTTAGCTGCCTTCATTCCGGGATTTGGAAAACATCATAAAAAAAATAAATAAATAAAAAATAAAAAAGTAAGTTGGAAAATTTTTTAAACTGTCACGTTAACTATTATCTACATCTTATTAAATAAAGACAAGCAAGAAAAAAATGGCAGTTAAACTGCATTAGTTATAGTAATGCTATTCGGAAACATTTGATAATCTATTTATACAAATCTGTAGGGCACACCTGATGAATCCTTGACATGACACGCTTACCTGGGCTGATAGGGCTTTCAGGTACAATTTCTGGCTATAAGATGGTGTTGTTCACCAAATGAAAGCATGAGAGCTATTCAGAAAGGGAGCTTTCAGAGAGAGCAATGTAACTTCTTGGACCTAATTCAAGTTGTCATCACCACAAAAACAGTGCCATTTTATTTCCGTTTGGATCCCAGGCCTCCCTCTGGCTTATGAGTAAGATTCTGCTGGTCCCGTTTCCTCTAGCGCCTGCCTCAGTCGCCTCCCTCACTCACTCTGCCACACCCCTTCAGCCAGGTGTGCTGGTCCTGAAACGTGGCTCCTTTCAAGACATCCCCAATCTCAGGCACTTTTATTATCAGTTTTATCGAGGTCTGCTGTACTAGCACATGTCATAGACTCACACGCTGGAAGAGCACAATCCAGTGATCTTTCGTACGTTTACAGAGTTGTGCAGCCATCACCATTATCTAACGTGAGAACATTTCCACCAATTCTAAAAAAAAAAAAAAGAGCCTCCTGCCCATTTGCAGTCACCCTCGGCTGTCGCTTCACCCCGTACAACCACTCATGCACGCTTGGTCCTCTCAGTGATGGCCTCCGGGAAGCTACAGCGCTCTGGCACCTGGGAGGCTGTGAGCTGTTTGTGGGGATCCACACAGCACAGCAAAAGCCCACATCCCCTGAGTGAGGGAGGCACGCCTTTCCAAGAGCGGCCAGGGGAAGCCATGGCCCTGGGCTGAGCGACCCAAACCTCAAAGCATCTTCCTTCTCCTCTCGCACATTACCAGTAACTAAAACTTCCTGTTTGGACGATAGAGGCAACGGAGCATGGTTCCAAGGCGAAGCAAACCTTTAGGAACTCAGGGACAGCGCCTGTGTTTCATCAATTACTTCTTGACCTCTCTCCACTCCACCTCAGCTTCTTTGAGAGGAGAGTAAGGACAGCCTCGCTTTGGTGGCGGGGGAGGGGGAGGGTTGGCATGCTTTCTCAAGGGGAGGACCACATTCCTCATAAGCTGGATGTGCTCAGTGACAAAAACAGCAGTAGGAGGATGAGCTGGAACACGAACATTCTCACCACCCCCACAGAATACCTGTCTTTAAAATCCATGCAACGCAGCAGGCTATGGTTGATGACTCTAGGTGGATCTCAATTATTTATTTTCATTAGAATATCTGTACTTGTCTCAAAGATAGATCATGAAGATGGATAGCTCTTTTTAAAATCACAACTCTCAGAGCCCTAGCCAGTTTGGCTCAGTGGATAGAGTGTGTCAGCCTGCAGACTGAAGGGTCCTAGGTTCCCCAGGCCTGGTCAGGGTGCGTGCAGGAGGCAACCAACCGATGTTTCTCTCTCACATGGACGTTTCTCTGTCTCTCTCCCTTCTACTTTCTCTAACAATCAACAACAACAACAACAACAAAATCATCGGGTAAAGATTAACAGCAAAAAAGACAGCAAGCTCTCAGAAAAGCCATAAAGGTTGAAGGTGTAGAATTATTTACATGTAAAGTGAAAATGAGAAATGTGACAGACAAGCTTTCCTACCCAGCAAGGGTCTACAAAACAGTAAGACACTCAAAGAATCAGGGTCAGTTATCTGCTAAACTTACTGGGAAATTTTAGGTTCAAAACAAACTCACACACACAAAAACACTTCTCTCTAAAAAATGTTTCTCTCTAAAAAATGTTTCCAAAGATAGTGTAAAAAGAAGGAAACATTTTAAGATAACAATAATTCATAGGGAAAAGGTGATGGTTTAAAATGTTATTAAAATAAAGGCTCCGTTCTTTCTCCTCAAAATTTTGTAAAGTACAATTACTAGAATTTAGGTGTGAGTCAAAGAGTACCCAGTCCTTGGCTTGGCAGGGGCCTCAGTATCATGTGTTCAATTACATACCCCGCATGCCTTTCTCAGACAGATGGTGCGAATTCCCCAGAAACTCTACATGTCTCGGGAATATCTCAGAACCCACCCCACAGCCAGTGCTACTGAGAAGTAAACACGGCTTTCTGGGTTATCTCTGAATGTCAGAAATTAGCACCAGGTGCTCCTTGGCCCACCCATCCTCACCTGCTCCACCTCAGTGAAAGATGAGGTGCTGTGAAGATAGCATGGGCAGTTCCCCGAATTCCTCAGATATTTCTAAACCGACATCACTGATAGTTGCTGTCATAAGCGCAGGCCACCCGAGCACCCTTACCCTTCACCACCCCACAGGCATTCCAATAGGCTTCACAGACACCCACTTTGCTACCAAGGAGGATTTAAGACTTAGTAAAATTAAACCCTAAAAGGGGTTTACCAGGGGCAAACTTTCTCTAGAGGCCTGGGTGCTTAACAACCTATGCGTCTACCTGCAAGACAGATCTATTAGCTCCTTTAGGAAACATGAAGCTGTGTTTATAGAACATGCAGATGATGGAAACCATTTATTGGGTACTTACAAATGGGCCAACTTCTGGCTAGGTTTCATATCTATTACTTCATGCAGTACTCATAGCTGTCTGAATTAAATACTGCTATTATCCACACTGTACAAGAGATGAATCCAAGGTTCAGCGAAGTCGAGGATACGGTCACCAGTTAAGGCATAAAGCCCCACAGAACTCTCTCAGGTGTCAGTATCAAGACCAGGGAGCACTTGGTCACTGCTCTGGCAGTGTTTTGTTTTGTTGTAACATATACTATATTTATACTATCAGTCTTACAACTGATTATGTGTCCTTCGTCACGTTGGCTGCTAGAAATAGAAGAGGCAAATCTCGGGCCAACCTGTAGTGGGCAGCCAGAGTTTCCTGACAGGCATTTTATACACTAACTCGCTCTTCTAAACCTGCAATCATTATTTTCCCTTCACACTAACCTGTTTGGAATAAAACAGCATAGAAATACGTTTTTTTACAACCGGAGATGGGGGTCCTGTGGGAGGAGGCTGGAGACGGCTCGGTGACCGTGAAGGAAGCAGATTTCTGGACTATGGATTAGACCCCCATAATCACCCCAGCAAACCCACCC